GGGGCTTGCGCCAAAAGATTACTACCTCATCTATTTCCTGGACAAGCACCTTCGTTGGAAATCCTTTCCAACAATTTTTTATTCGGTATCATGTCACTAGAATGGAGGAATTTATAGAGATTGAAAGTGAAAGAGAATGAGAAAACTGAGGATTGAGGAAAGGGCAAAAAAAGGAACGGGGTACAAGAAGACAAAAGATGGCGATTGACGTTTTCATTTTTGTAGTTATCAGGAAAGGAAGAATCGAAAGTGTGTTCCACAGGTGGGAAGTGCGAGAAAAATATCTGTTAGGGTAGAAGTGGCTGTTGCATCTAGGTAGGTAAACAGTAAAATGTTGAGACCAATCTGCCGTAAAAATAAAAATATTTTTCGAAGAGGTAAATGGAAGCTACTTGGCTGAAATCCAGAACCGATAATGTTGCTGATTTTTCCCCAGTTTTCAAGAATTTTTAGACACATAGAATTAATGATGCAAATTAGATTCTCGCAAGAAAAAAAATGGTGAACCGACTTTCCTAGAATTAGAATTTAGAAGAGTTTATTCGCTAAATTTTGGAGACGAAGTGTTTCCGTCTCTAAAATTTGTGGTATGAATACTAGCCTATAACGTGCACTATTTACTCCTTCAAGTTTATGTTAGTGTTGTTGCCTTGTTAGGGCTAGAAATAAAGATACAAAGAGAGGAATTGAGTTAAACAAATATATTAACAGAAGCAGTAATACAAACATATACAAACGAGTGTGTTACAGCAAGAATGTTCGGTCCGACTGTCAGAGCTGACTGCTGGAAACTTCCCTCTCCAAAAGGCAGTACCTGCTCCTATTTATAGCTGGGAGAGTCCATGCAAGCGTGGGTAAATTAGCATAAATATTCTTGCAACTTACCACCTGCTGATGAGGAACCATAGTACAGAAGAAAATTAGGACTACGCCACTGACTAATACATTCTTTAATTAAACTTCAAATGATGACTCAGAGATGAATCAATTTCATGTTTTTTGTCTCCTCATTTAACCACTGAATTACGTAACAGAGTCAACTAGCCCGGAGTCATCTTTCACTGGAATAACTCGTCTATTCTTGACACGACACAGGCCTGGCAATCTTTTTTATTTTTGTATTTAAACCAGTTGAATTAAGAATTTGTTGTAAAATTATTGTGTTGTAATTGGCCAAACACATTACACTCGCAAAGTGGAATGAAACGTTACGCGATACGTAATGCTGCTCAAGAAGAAATCGTAAGGATACAGTAACATGATTCGGCTCAACTTGGGGCGGCAAAGTTAGGAAGGGCTTTAAAATCAGATCACGAGTTGACCCAAGACATGTGAATGAAATCGAGTCGACAAAATTGTTCGGAAGCGGTCGATAGTTGTGCTAACATGAATGCACAAGTCATCATGACCGAGGGTGTGAGCATACTGGACTTGTTCAAGCAGTTGATCATGCTACATGATGCACCATCTCCCAGAATCTTTAACTAAGGTCCGCTCATCTGAGTTGCAGTATAAATCACAGATGGGCTGTGTGGGTCAGCAAAAAATGAACATCGTTCTGTGTTTATTTGTATAGTGGCTTTAGTTTCGGGAGAAAATAAAGACAAACGCTGTGTCATTGGATAACATTGGAAGCTTTTATTTTTAATCAACTTCAATCACTTTTGATTTTACTGAGACATGGGCGCGTGGCCGAGTTGCAGTATAAATCACAGATGGGCTCTGTGGGTCAGCAAGAAATGAACATTGGTATGTGTTTTGTCAGTGGATGACATTGGAAGCTTTTATATTTAATCAACTTTAATTACTTTTGACTGTAGTGAGACATGGGCGCGTGGCCGAGTAGTTTGAACGTTCGCTTTCTAACCATGAGAAACTCACCGTGATCGATTTATAAGAAAGGTTACTTCTTGATGTTGTTGATATATAGAAGCTATCCCAGCTTGTAAAGTGCCGGAAAACTATACCAAGTGTTAAACCAAACCTTGTGAGTCAAAATGGGTAGACAGAACTATTTGGGAACCGTCGATGGTTGAGGTATCAGTATACTGGCCTACTGTTGATCACAATATCTCTTAGAAAAACTAACTAAAGTCTGCTCAGCATAGTTGCATTATTATCAGGTGGGCTTTGTGTCTCTTGGAAAAAGACATAGGAGAGGCCTCTACAATCGGGATTGACTAACCATCTGAGCAGTCTAGGATACGAGACAGATCTCTATATATGTATTTGATATATATATATATATATATATATATATATATATATATATATATATATATATATAAAATTAGCGTATTTTTGCCTATTGTTTTGAACACTTCTTAAAAATAAACAAAATACATAAATGTAAATTTATAGTCAAAATATGATGCGCACTACAATAAATATGCGCATGTATATATATATATATATATATATATATATATATATATATATTACATATTTAGGCAGCAATCCTTGCTTTATGCATGTTTCATTAAAAACGACAGACAAGGTACTACGGTTAAGCTTTTTATTTAATTTTTCTTGTGTTCGAACAAGAGTTTTCTTTTCTGGACAAAGGTGTGTAAGAACTGTCCAAATGTTTTATATTTCCGAGCGCTTTCGGCTATATATTTAGCTATTATCAAGGATATATATGTCATAAATTCTTTTGAAGCATTAAACAATTTGTGATTTTGGGAGATATGGGAAACATCGAGTAACGTGACAGATGAACTGTTCCAATTTTAAGAAATTTTAGATATTCCCTCGTGCATATATATATATATATATATATATATATATATATATATATATATATATATATATATATATATATATATATATATATATATATATATATATATGTAATTCAAACCTATGCTTGAATATATACGTGTATAAGAAAGTTTAATATGCATATATATATATATATATATATATATATATATATATATATATATTAATGTTCTTGTATATTGCTTATACATACGTATGTATATATTTATACATGTATATGTATAAAGATATATACAAGAACATTTATATGTTTGTATATGCATACTAATGTTCTTGTACACATGTTTAAACATGTGTACAAGAACATTAGTATGCTTGCACACACACACACACACACACACACATATATATATATACAAGCATACTAATGATCTTGTACACATGTTTATACACGTATATGCAAATATACGTTTAAATTATATTTATATATTTTAAAAAAATGAATATATATATATATATATATATATATATATATATATATATATATATATATATATATATTGTTACTTTTAAAAATATATGAGCTGCGACACGAACACAACGCACGAAGGAGTGTCATCCTGTCATGAAAGATATCTACTTTTTCTTGAACTTTCAACTTAACCTACCTAAAGTGTCTCATTCACACTTGAATATATATTTATATGTCTATATATACCCCCAACCAACACATACACATCCACATATACACACGCACACCCACACACAGACGCAAATCTATCTATCTATCTATCTATCTATCTATCTATCTATCTCTTTCTCTCTCTCTCTCTCTATATATATATATATATATATATATATATATAGAGAGAGAGAGAGAGAGAGAGAGAGAGAGAGAGAGAGACGTGCCTTTTAATTTTTTCCTAGACATTGGCTAACAGAAGGACACTCTGTAAAACCTACGACTCGGGTACTTCACTGTCATCGTCCCAGCTTGCTAGGCCATGACAGATCTAAACCTGGGTTTAAAGGCGCACACTGCACTTCTAAAAACTCTTCTGTGAGGGGGACGTTCGCCTCCACCAATCATTTCCTAGCTCTGTAGCGATGGGAGTTGGGTGAAAACGGAAGGTGTAAGACGACACTGGAAGTCGCAGTCCCAATCCCGCATGCAGGCGGGTCAGGATATTGGTCGTCTGATGTTGACCTGGAAACGACAACATCGTACGGCAGCACCCTGATTGTCCAAGCAGCCTTCTCTAGGGACAGCACTGCTTGCTCCATATATATATAGAGGCTTCGGCCTTTTCTCATGCGGCCGAACATCAGTAAAGAAAAAGGTATCAAAGAACTACATGTAGCATGCTGGAACATCAGGACCATGCTGGACACGACAGAACAACGTTCTGCTCTGATTGCAAATGAATTGACAACTAAATGTTGACATCGCTGCTCTCAGTGCTGCGGTTCCCAGATGAAGGCAGCCTACAAGAGCACGGAGCCGGATATACCCTCTACTGGTCAGGCAATTCAGTAACAGCGAGACGTCTTTCGGGCCTAGGTTTCATGATTAGGTATTTCATTGCCCCCAAGCTCGAAAACCTTCCAACGGGTTATTCTGACCGCACCATCTCTATGCGCCTCCCACTGAGTAATCTTCAATATGCCATACTAATTATTGTCTACTCCACAACGTTACAAGCAGATCCTGTGGAAAAAGATGAATTTTAATCAAATCTGCGCAGCCTACAATGACACGCCCCTGTAAATGATAAGGTTATAATCCTTAGTGATTTTAACGCCAGAATAAGCGAAGATTTTGCGACCTTGAAGGGGATGCTTGGGAGACATAGTCTTGGTAACTGTAACGACAATGTGCGCTTGCTACTAGAGTTTTGCGCAGAGAATCAGCTCGTCGTCACAGTAAATATCCTTGCGGGGGTTCTTCTGAGCAGGTTGGTACCCGCCATCGCGTAACAGCACATTCAAGAGAATCAGTGCGGCTTCAGAACCAACAGTAGCAGATAAGGTGTTTGTTCTCCGAATTCTGCAGAAGAATGGTCGGGAGAAAAAAAGAGGGGCTGTATGCGGCATTCATTGATCTGACAAAAACATTCGACACAGTGAGTAGAAGAGGAATGTGGCAGATCATGGGGCGACTCCACTGGCCTCCAAAGTTCCTGAACAGGATCATCCAACTGCACAAGGATCAGAGTGTCCAAGTTAGACACAACGGGGATCTTTAAGAGCCCTTCTCGATTATCAACGGTGTAAAGCAGAGTTGCGTTCTGGCATCGACTCTCTTCACTATCTTCTTCAGCATGATGCTCAAACAAGCCATGAAAGGTCTTGATGATGAGGACGGACTTTACATCAGATACCGTCTCAATGGTGGCCTGTTAAATCTACGACGACTAAAAGCCGACACAAATACCCTGGAGCAACTTATCCGGAACCTCCGCTTTGCTGACGATGCTGCCCTTGTTTGCCAACAGAGAAGGGGGTTTGCAGCGGATCACTTCCTGCTTTATAGAGGCTGCCAAGCTTTTGGGGCTTATAGAGGCTGCCAAGCTTTTGGGGATTATAGAGGCTGCCAAGCTTTTGGGGATTATAGAGGCTGCCAAGCTTTTTGGACTATAAGGCAATTTAATTACAGAGGTACACTACCATCCTGTGCCTCGTGATAAGTATCTCCCTCTCCACATCATCATTCGCGCGACTGGGCTGAAGGCAGTCTATCGGTTTACCTACCTTGGATGTATCATCACATCGGATGCTGGGATCGACAAGGAGGTCGACAACAGACTGGCAAGGGCGAGCATTGCATTTGCCAGACTGTACACACGGGTGCTGTATAACAGACACCTGAAGAAGGGCACTAAGGTCAGGGTGTATAGAGCTATCGTCCTCGCCACTCTCCTATACGGCTCAGAGTCCACTTACCGACACCATCTGCGACTCCTCGGACGGTTCCACCAGGGTTGCTTCAGCACAATCCTGTCCAATAGAGTTTTTTGAAAAGACGGAGATCACCATCATTGAGGACATGCTGTTGAAGTCTTAACTGCAGTGGGCTGAACATGTTTCCAGAATGACAAATCATCGCCTGCCTAAAATTTTATTGTACGGCGAGCTCTGCACTGGTTATCGTGGAAGAGGGGCACCAAAGAAGCGACCCGAAGATTTTCTGAAAAATCCTTTGTTTCCTGTCACATTAACCATTGCTAATGGTCAATCCTAGCTGAAAACCGTAACGCCTGGCGTCTCACCACCAAACATGCTGTCTCCTTCTTTGAAAATACCTGCAGGGCCGCTCTCAGGCGTTAGAGGTAGAGAATGAAGTACTGAAATGCTATGTCATCAAGCCCAGGCCAGACCTTTAGCTGCAACTACTGCAACCGTGTATGCTTGTCCTACATTGAACTTATCAGCCACAAACTTGCCTGTAAGCGATGTGTACATACTCCTTCGTGATCTTCGTTTTGTGAAGCCAAGCCATGATATATACAGGGTGATTGAAAAGTAACCCCCTATTTTAAAATACTTAACTATAATTTCTACAAGAAAAAATTGAGAAAAAAGCGTTTAGCATGAGGTTTTATTTAAAATTCGATATGAACACCAGATTTTGCTACTAGCTTCTCCATCCGCCTAGGAATCACATCGACTGATTTCACCAGAAACACTTGTTGTATGGTATGGTATGGTACACATAACTTCTTGTGTATTCTTATAAAATCTTGGTTTGGTATAGTAGACCCGCTTCTTTAGCTAAGCCGAAAGTCAGGACTCCTGGCTGGCCACTCATACATAAAATAGGGAGTTACATTTTAATAACTATATATATATATATATATATATATATATATATATATATATATATATATATTAATATATATATAAGATGCACGTATATATATAACTGTGTGTGTGTGTGTGTGTGTTAGGCGTACTCTACCTCTATCTCTCAATATATATATGTAACGCTTTAGGCGTATGAAAACGAAGACTTAGACGATCTTCAAACACAGGCTGACAAATGTAAATAAATTCTATAATTGATTATCTGCTTTCTTTCAAATTAAAAGAAACGAATTACAAAGAATCTTTGCGAAACTAATTCACACAAATATGATTTTGTTTGTCTTTCTTTACAATACAACCGAATCAATTACGTTGGTATGTTAAATGAAACAAAATGTGTCTACATAAGTAGAGTGTCACGTATTTACATTGTTTTGTGAACGCGTGTAATTTTTCAGAACTAGCAGCAGGCCATTAGGCAAAGTAGCTGTGTCAGTAATACTGTTAAAATTTGTGTTGATAATAATTCGGTTAGTATGCGTGTGCGTGTAAGTATGTGATGACATTGAAGACAGTACGAATGCTACTTTAATTTAAAGAGAAAACAATTATTAAGTAAGACAAAAATGTATAGAAACTACTTTAATCGCTAGATCATCCACAGTACAATTCTATCGAGTTTCTTACAATGTTTCAACATTCTTGGCTGATTTTCTATTATCACAGTATATACGCAAAACACATAATATTTTTATTTAATATTCCCAGCGTCTCGCGTTCGTGCGCATGTGCAGCCGCATCAACGTAAACAAACTTAATTCATACTACAAAACTATATGTTGTTCATTAATATAAATATTTATATAAAGATGTGCGTTGTTATCCGTTAGCGTAATTTTTTCATTATACTTTTAAATGCAAAACGGTTGTACCACAACGCACATCTTTATATAAATACTTGTACTAATGAACAACATATTGTTTTGTACTACTTGCACCCCTGAAGATGATCTTGAAAAAAGATCGAAAGTACTTAGGAAATGAAAAGGAAATAAATTTAAACAGCTATAGCACATTTCTCTCATCCTTTAAAATCAATACACGAAATGTTATTCGTGAGTATGAACGGATTTTATTAAAAATTAGCAGACATAATGTCTGTAAATTATTCAGTCAGACATGTCTAAAAGAGAATTTGATGCCTAAATACACAAATATATATACTAGTTGTGTTAGCAAAAAGTCACAAGCCATAGTGACCGAGGGTTTGATCGTACTGACCTTGTTCAGACTGATGTTCACGCCATTTCTCCCAAGAAATTGTAACTAAGGTCCGCTTAGTATAGGTGCAATATAAACCAAAGACGGACTCTGTGGAAGTTGAACAAAGACAAAACGAGTCTGAACATGTGTGTGTCTGCGACAGGGATTGGATAGCCACCATAGTAAACAGGCATAATCGAATACATACCCTACATATATATAGGGTGTGATGGGTAAACTGTTGCCATTTTATATTTTTAATGCGCATTGTTTACTTTTTAATTTGCCCATTGCACAATATAGTAGGGTCAGTTGGGCACCGTCTGTGAGAAAAAGATCACCTCGACTCGATTCACTTTGCCAGAAATTTGGAAACGGTATGCTGTACTGCTTAGCATTCATGACAGAAGCTCCAATGCAAACATTTCAGAGTGCTCGGATGTGAATCTAATGACAGTGTCAAGAATTCGGAAAGAGTTTGATGAGTCTAATGGTGATTACCAAAGTACGGCAGCTCGGAATCCTCACTCTGATCATTCTGATAAGAAAAGAACTCCCCAATTTATTGGAGATGACTTCAGACTCAACACCGATGCCTATATCCAGTGTCTTGAGGAGGTAGTGCTGCTATGGGTCAAGAGGGTGACTACCGGAAGACCCTATGTCAGGTAATAGGACTCTGTATTATGCCACACAAGCAGGAGAACAGAGTCATGTCTATCAGACAAATTCTGCGACCACATCACCCCTTACATCTGGTCACCTAACTCTCCAGACAGCAACCTTCTTGATTATTATGTGTGGGTCGAGAGACCAACAAAACTTGTAACATCAAAGATGAACTGAAGGCAAAGATTATGGCAGCATTCACCAACTTAAACAAGGAGACTGTCTAGAAGAGTTGCAGGAGATTCCGTAGTCGTTTATTGAATGAATTTACTCTTTAGTATTTCAAGATATTTTTGTGTAAATTTGGTAAATATATCTGTTAAAATAAGATGTTAGTGTTAATTTCTTTGCGGAATTTAGATGACAATTTATCCATTGCACCCTATATATATATATATATATATATATATATATATATATATATATATATATAAAAGAAAAAAAGAAAAATTTTTAGAATAATCAATATTTATGTATATATTGATAGACGATATGCATGCATACATATTATTTAAAATTTGCATACAAATGACGTATAATGTGACTACGAAATGCAAAGGTGTTTTGGAATAGCAAAGATGCTTTTCCAAAAACAAAGCAAGATATTAAGAAAAAGGAAAATTCTGTTAGAAATAAAAAGTCCCTCTTTATCGCAGGAGATGCTATACAGATGAAGAAGTGACTTGAGACAACAGTGATGTGGTTTTACAGATGGATGCTGAAAATAACCTGTGCTGACATGTGATTAACAAAGAAAATAGAAACAAAAGTACACTTATGCTCAGAATCAGAAAGCAACAGTTGAAAGAGGGCTTAGAGAATTTGACATCCACAAGGCGTTTTGAAGACAAGTTGGACATATGTGGTGGTGGATTTTTTTACTGCATATTGTAACCTAGAAAAGGTTACTGAATGAGGAATAACCAAAACGGAGGTTGGAAATGAAATGGTAATCTTTATAACATCAACAAACTACAATGCTCGCCAGCGGTGTGAATTAGGTAGACCACTGCTAGTAGTAGACTACTTAGACAGTATATTACCCCCACTTACAATAGTGTCCAACGTATTTATGAGGATTGGGACATACCCATTAGTGTTCATAGGTACGGGATATAACACTACAAATATGCATTGTTGACAATTTTTTAATATAAGAATATATAGCTGATATTTTTACTGCACAAATGCGCTTTTATCCTTTCATAGTGTTTTGTTTGTGGTTTCATTATTTGCCTATAGATGTTGTTTGGTTGATTTTGTTTAGCAACATATCAACACCTCTATGGGTTATTTAATGCGGATATCCAAATATTTTGATCGCAATTGCATGCCTTCAATTACAGACAAAATATATTGTTGGTCATTTTGCTATAAATATGTATTTTTATACTTTTACAGTGTTTTGTATTTGTTTGTGTATTTACTATTTGCCCATAGCTGGGACCCTAACAGGTGCTACCACCCCATCGCAGAGCGGACCAAGAAAAAAAACAGCAATTAATAGGTGGTTCCATGTCCCTCAAAACCTCACATCTCCCGATCAGAGGCCTTGCTGCTGGATGTAGTTTATCGTCATACCCAGGACTGATGGACGTAAGGAATCAGTGAATAGCATAATTAAAAATCTTATTTAAATTATATTTATAATCATAACAAAAGTAGGATATTTTCATTTTCTGAGAGGATCAGCTTTGATTGATTGATTTTGTTTTGAGAGCTTATCAACCTTTTGCAAGTTATTTAGAAGCCAGAAAATATTTTTATATTGTAAGCCGTTTTTGGAGACAATAATGATTTTATTGATATAACTCCTGCTACTTAATCCATAGCTGGGGGAGAAGAGAGTATTTGAGCATGAATGAATACAACAAATCTGATTTTCAATTTCGTGCCGTTATCTATTACACCACCCGCACGTCCAAACTTACAGCACATGGTATTCCAAAGCGATCCACCATCTAGGTACTGACCAGCCTCGACGTTGCTTAACTTCGGTGATCGTACGGGAACCGGTGTTTCAACGTGCCTAATTCTTAATACTTTGTTTAGAGTTTAGAAGGCATCTTTCGCTATTCCAGAGCGCCTTCGGATATCTGTGGCACATATTCCGCTGTTTGTTGTAACATTTCGCAATGAATCGCTTCATTATATAGGCAATCTTGTGAATGTTAAATTCTCCAAGCCCTCTATCCTTAATATTGTGTCCAAGAAATTTCCTTAAACCTTTTAGGACCAGCGGTTTAGTCTACTCCATTATTCTTCTGTGTCGTATCCCTTCAAGACTTGAGGGATAATGGTTCTCCATAACCTAATATGGACGCAAATTGGATCTAACTAAAAATAATGTAAAATCAGGAATCTTTAAAACGTAATAACTGATTTAACACGCCCCCACTTATTATATTCTGTCGCCCTGCTTTATATACACATACATATAACTCACACACATACACACACACATACATATATATATATATATATATATATATATATATATATATATATATATATATATATGATATAGCCTTGTGATTCTGTCACTGTTTTCTTCAGACGAGGCGGAGGATGGACAGGTCGCGAACTTCTCTCGGTTGTGGCCGTCAAAAGCGACATCACAATTGAATCCGTTTCTTCCTCGCCTACGTTTTCTCGGCGCTGAACAATCACATGCTGCTTTAAGATCATCCCCTCGTTTCTATTTCCGGTTCAAAGTACGTGTTATCCAAAATTAAAATCTAAACCTACAATTTAAGGAGTGTGCTTCATGTCTTATGATAGAAAGAATTGACTTATCTTCCTGCATGTGTACCTTTTCAACAAAAGTAGATCAACGCTGAAAGGTTCTGTGGTGTCGGTGGGCTAATTACCTAATTTCAAATTTGGTCGGTGTTCAAATCCAAGCAAATACCAGGATTTGATTTTTTTTTTAGCAGTCTGGCCTTCTCCAAGTAGCAGTCTGGCGCAGCATATTCTTTCTATTCTGTTGATTGGTTTTGATTGAGACTAAATAATAATAAATCTAATGTTATTTATTACCGTTTATATTTAGAATCAGAAAAAGAAGATTGAGAATTTCGAGGACACATAATGCGGAAAGAGTGCCTGGAGAATTTGACACTCACAGGGATTTTGAAAGCAGGATAAACAATTGTGTAAATGGATAGCATAAAAAAAGAGGGGTGGATAGTGAAAAGTCAGTCCTTATTAAGAGCTACCAAAGATAAGACATTTTGTCTGAATTTATGGGATGAGGAGTCATCATTATTTACATGGCGACTATTGTCCTCATCTTTATTGTTGCTATCACAACGTTTCAGTCGTTCCGCACTCCGGCCTTCATCAGGTTTATGTTGATCCGAATAACCTCCGGGTAATTCCGTAACTGAAGCCTTTATTTAATCTACGGCCCATCCAATTCTTATTTAATACTGTTCAGTTATTGCTCACCTCGTTTGGACCCTTCCACATGGTGTAATGGTTAACATGCTTGTTTCACTAGGTCAGTTACGACTGAGTAGTGAGTTTGATCCTCACTGGGTACTCCGTACTTTCGTTCATGTGCCACATCTAAGCTATGATTAGTAAATTACTATTACTCGCGTTGTTTCCAATGAGTCCAAGTGCACACTGCCGAGCCCAGGAATTGAACTCACAATTATTACGTCAAGAAATCCACTAAAAAAAGCTTTAACTCACTAGGCTATTGTCAAAACGAAATCTTCGATTCGTTTTTTTACGTCTTGGAAAATTATTTAAAGCCAAAAAATATTTTTAGATTGTAACAATGTTTTGAGATAATAATGGTTTAGTGATACAAGTTGTACTATTTCACCCATAGCTGGGGGTCGGGGAGAAGAGGTGGATTCATATCATTCCCAAGGGTATTTGCGTGTAAGAAAATATGACGAACTCAATACGTCTCTCCGATTAACAATTCCGAGCTGTTATCCATTACCCTACCCATGTATCCAAGTTTACAGCACTTAGTCTTCCCAAACAGTCACCCATTTGGGTACTGGCCAGGTTCGGCATTGCTTAATTTCGGTGATCGTACGGGAACCGATCTTTTAACGTGATGTGGCCTTAGCCAAAATATTTTAATGTTTTTAAACCTTTTATCTTTGATAATATAAGAATTCGTGACTTCTTGGATTAAGATATTTTGTATTTTTTTTCTAAAATTACTCCTGTATACACTGTAATATACCATGTACCAATAGGGTACTTTGAGGCGGTGTAAAAGTTAACAAGCTTGTCTAACTAGACCAATTACAACAGAGTAGTAAGTTCGATCCTCACAGGGTACTCGACATTTTAGGACTTGTGCCACATTTGAGGGTACTTCAACGTAGTGTAATGATTAGCAAACTTATCTCGCTACATCAGTAGAGAGTCCGATATCTGGGTGCTCCATATTTTCACCCTTGTGTCATAACATAAGCTTCGCTTAGTAAACCATTGTTCAGGCAAAAACCTGGCGGGAGAGTTTAAAAAAATATTAAGCCTAAGGCACAGGGGGTCTTCTCCCCAGGCAGTACCTCTTCTTCTTACCGATTTCTAATTTCAAGACGTTATTCATTATACCACCGACGCTTCCACTGCAGCTAATCAAACATCCGGGATATAAAACTAACAGACCATCAATGTCTTTAAAGGAAAACAACATCGAAATATTTCTATGAAGTTCTGCCAATATAAATAAATGTCCTTAAAACATCTCAAACATTAATAAGCGGTAGGGCGTAATGAGCTCCAAGTGTTTGAAAAGTTAATTGTTTTTTTATGTTTTACAGTTAGTACCCCCCAATACAAGCCCCAAGAGCCGCTCAAGTTAGAGGGTTACTGAATGAGATTTTAAGGAAAGGAGAGGGATAGGAAGGTGTAAGAGAGTATTATAAGAAAAAGTAGGAGAGCTATCGGTTGACCCTGGACTTAAAGAGACCAAGAGCGTAGTTTTCAGGGAAGTATTCTCTCGGGAGTTTATTCTTTAAAGAATTCTCTACATGGCGGGACCTCACTGCAAAGATCCGAGCTGGTGGAACTAAGGAAAGTAACTAGTCCGAACATCGGCCATAGTAATATGGACAGAGTAGCGAGAGGCTAGCAAAGTTTCGTCTGTGGGAAAGGGGGTTGTAGGGTGGAGAATAATTCATCACTCACACGGTCGAGTCTGGTATAACGATTTGTTTATTGCTTTATTGAATGATGGACAAATTATACATAGATGTGGATACTCTTCCTTCTGCTATTTTTAATTTCCAAACCAACACAAAATACTGCCTCGGCTATTGGAAAAAAATAGTTCACCACAAGCAAGGCAGTAAAGCCACTAAGGCGCAAGGGGGTTACTAGTACCCCATAGAAGAAAAAAAGGCAGTAGATCGATAAGTAAAATCTCCAGAACCGATCCGAAAAGGCGTACCCCATAGAAGAAAAAAGGCAGTAGATTGATAAGTAAAATCTCCAGAACCGATCCGGAAAGGTGTACCCCATAGAAGAAAAAAGGCAGTAGACTGATAAGTAAAATCTCCAGAACCGATCCGAAAAGGTGTACCCCATAGAAGAAAAAAGGCAGTAGATTGATAAGTAAAATCTCCAGAACTGATCCGAAAAGGCGTACCCCATAGAAGAAAAAAGGCAGTAGATTGATAAAAAGGTGTAAAAATTCATACAAGAAAAAAATGGGAAAATCTCCAGAACGATCCGAAAAGGTAAAGCAATGTTTACCCCATACAAGAAAAATGGGAGTAGATTGATAAGTAAAATCTCCAGAACCGATCCGAAAAGGCGTACCCCATAGAAGAAAAATGGGAGTAGATTGATAAGTAAAATCTCCAGAACCGATCCGAAAAGGCGTACCCTATAGAAGAAAGATAATTTTGTGCGTGTGGTGGGATCATCACAGTATTATTCATTCAGAGTTCTTAAAATGCATTTAAGCACTAAATGCATTTTTATCCGTTCATCAGTTGCAATGTAGCCAGAAATGTTTGGTCGAAGAACGTCTCGATTTCCTCAATAGTAAAACTGTTTTTTCTCCTCCATGTCAACTTAAAGTCGCATCCAGTAGCTATAAAAGAGGGACACATTTTAGAACTTGGTTAGTCTGCGCTACATCCAGCCGTCATATCCACCTGACACTCTACCTGATAATTATATTTCTTCACTTTCGTCTACCGGCCTGAATGGTGGAGAAAATAATGCGTTCCGCGGCATATTTTTCTCTAACAAGATTTCTCAAACATTCAGTCCGACAGACGAAAATAAATAAATATACTGATTAATAAATAAACAGAGCGTCTACTCAAATACGAGCATCCACTACATATAACGTTTAAAGTGATAAAATTCTGTTGGATTAATAAAAATACATTTACTTCTTTCAATACACACACACACACACACACACACGCATATATATATATATATATATATATATATATATATATATATATGCTATCAAATTTTTCACAGTTGTATATCAAAGATCGTTTGGACGCAATTGATAACTTTCAAATTTTTTATGCCCAAAAGAACGAATGTCTATAACGAACCCCGCCAGGAGAAGACAGGCCGACATATTAGATTTGGTTGGTGCAGGTAGTGTTAATATGATTTGTGGTTAGGTTCCTCTTCAATATGACAAACTATTCTCGTTTATCTGTTTATAATTACGAAATACGAGAATCGCTGTTGGTCGGAAGTTTTGATTTTCATTCTCATCACACTCCTGCCGTTCATTATTTGCAAACTCTGCATTGGTTTTCTCCTCTTTAGTTTTAGAGGTACGATTGTTACTGAAGCCCTTTTTATGACTATCTCGCTTTTAAGCATTCTGGCTTTATTCTCTACTCAAATTCTACACTGTGTTAGTCACTTCGGTGTGAGGTAATGCTTCGCAAGTTTAGTCTGGTTAACCAATTTTCGGTTTGATTTCCATTGTGGGCACCATACGGAATTCGACATTATGTAACATAATAAGAATTGACAATGTCAATAAATGAAATAATAAGTGAAATAAAAAGTCTATACAAATATGCATATTAAAGCTCTTTCGATACACTTTCGTATGAGTAAATTGATTTCTATTTTAATTAACGTTGCATTTTTTATTGTCAGATTAAATACAGTGAGCAACTCATGCACTGAGGGAACTGTTTTGTAAAAGATCCATTTTGCGTTCATATAATGTTTTATTTAAATTCTTTGAGGTTTCTCCAATGTATGCTGCGTGGCAATTATTACAGGTTATAGAGTGAATTTCACCTTCAAGTTTTAGATTGTTATTATTTTGTTCTGTATTAAGTCTTTTATTATTTTAGAAGTAGCTGTAACAAATTTCATGTAAGTCTGATGAAGTCCTAAAGGACGAAACGCGACGCACGAAAAAGTTTTTACACTTTATAATTGTTTTTCTTAATATATATATATATATATATATATATATATATATATATATATATATATATATATATATATATATATATATATATATATATATATAATAATATATATATATATATATATATATATATATATATATATAATGATATATATATATATATATATATATATATATATATATATATATATATATATATATATATATATATATATATATAATGATAATATATCATTTCAGAAGACGCATTTCCATTTATTGACATTTCTCGAACGTTCAGACTAGTAAAATAGTGTTTAAAATAAACGGAGCACTGTACACTACCTTTCCTTAGGACAACGTCGGTTGCGTGGAAAGATGAAACTTGCATGGCCAACCGCCGATCTCCCACAAAACCCCGCCCATGCCTGCGCCCTGGAGAGGAAACTCCAATGTTCCCTCACTGCGACGGCAAAACACGGGATGTAACAGTCTCTTGATTGGAGGGTTCCGAAGGTCCTTCTTTTACAGGGAACTTGCCACCGGCAAGTGGGTGACGTTATCCCCGCTTCAAGTATTTCTGAAAAAGTGACATGAGGACGATGGACATAGAAACTGATATCGAGAGGTGGGAAAACGTCGCCAACGATCGTTTACGCTGGAGAGACGATTTACAACGAGGGTTGGGGCGAGGAGAAAAGAAACGGAGGCTTATTGCCGGGGAGAAGCGTACTCGGAGAAAAACAAGACGGTGACATCGGGGGAGAGCGTATTCACATGCATTCTGTGCAATCGAGACTGTCACTCCTATGTGGGCCTGTACGGCCATAATAGATTCTACGATGCCGTCATCAGCTGAGGTACAACACTTTAGGCGCAGATCCATGGTTTCTCGAGACCGACGGGTGCCACGTAACATAACATATTTATTTTATATGCAGACATGTTTATATAACCAGATGCAGTTAAACACTCATTTAGTTAAATGAAGTATATTTACAGCAAGAATTCAATTTAATTGAATATGAACCTATTCAATTTAATTGAATATAAACCTTACGGCCATGCACATTCATGAGAAGGGCTTCGGGAGTAAACCCTGAAGACAAATGCGGAGCTGGTGCCCCTAAGACAGTCCGATGTACGTCTTCGTTCTGGCAACTCCTGTGATGACGGCAGTGCCAAGCTTTATTGGACTCTACCTTTCCCTTGAACAAAATCGGCGGCGGGCAGAAGGGAGACTTGCTGCATAAGCAATCGCTGATTTCTCATAAAATCCTAACCAGACCTGCGCCCTAGGGTGTACACTTTAGCGTTGCCCCAAGGCGGCAGCAAAAAAGGTAAGCAACAGGTCAATGCTTAATTGCTTTTATAGCATGACTCTTTGGTTGCAGATCCATGGTCTCTTGAGACCGACGGATTCCACATAAAGATAAGACTATTCAGACTAGTATAGTTATCTTGGTTGTCATACTAACAGCTTTTTAGCCGTCGTTCTCTTAGACTTCCTTAGGGTGTTAGTCATACACGGCAACCTTCTCAAATTTTTAACACTTTATTCCATCTATACGGGTAGATTATTCTCATTTCCGCTTTCCCTTTTTTAGGGGAGATAACTAGTATCAGGTTATACATTTCAATCTTTAATAATTTCACTCCAAGCAAGGTGATAAAAAAATAACACTAAGATACAAGGGATT